GAATCCAATCAATGGAGTCAAAACTCGTGAGTATTATGAAGCCATTCTTATGGAAACATGATCCATCTCTGTTGTCCATTACTACCAGCAAAATACCAGAGTAATTGCAAATTCAAAAATACAGATCAAGAAATTGCTTTCTTATGATGAGTTGGGTTGCAATCCTTCTCAAGGCAAAAAATTTCATAATCCTGATTTTTCATACAAATATTACAAGTATGCCGAGTACATAGAAGCATGGCATAAAATGTTTTATTACCAAAATCCAAACAACACTCATAGTTGGTATATTCAGTTTCGTCTACCTATTTTCGAAAAATTCTCAAACTGGTTTAAAAATTGGTTTTTAGTTTGGGGATCAACTACTGCAATTTTACGTCCTGCTTTCCAAAAAGTGTAGGAACAATTCACTATATTCAATAATAGTGATGATAATACAGACAATCACCTATACTTTGTTGCACTATACCAACTCCCATGGATTATAAAATTCGAATATTCCATCTCTGTCAATAATACAGCCGACCATACTTATATCCCACGCTTGAGAAAAACCATCTCAATAAAATGGTGGGACATCTTCAATATGGATCTCACAACCACAGTTCCCAAACGCATACCTCCACAAAAACCTATACATAACCCCAGTCCAAGTGGGTATAATATAGCCAATATTTATTTTAACTTCCCCACATATTTAAGAAATATGCTCCAAACAAACCCTCATGCTTCCAAAGAAACCTTGGAACAACAAATGAATGAAATCTTTGCAGAAGCAAGAAGAAAGCCGGTCTCATCATATGAGACCGTACAGTCATCACCAACTCACAACAATAGATACTTTCCCCTGGACGAAACAGACCCTGAAAAAGAAGATGATCCAGACGAATTCAGTCAAAGACCATGACTCATTGCTGCCACTGCTGCCACTCACTCATATCATTGTGTAAAGATACTCTCCTCCGACATACGACAAACCACGATTGTGCCAAGATGCTCTCCACCAATAAACGACAAACCAAGACTGTGACAAAAAGCTCTCCACCGACATAAAAAGATAAAAGAAGACTATTCAAGGATAGCACACTGTAGCACCGACATAAAAGACAAAGTTGCATACTATTCACAGATGCCTTTTTGTTCATACGTGCCGACAAAGACAAAAGGCTTTTTCACCTTTTCTTTTCCATTTTGTTTTCTTCCGCCGACAGCATCTTCTTTCTGTCACATCCCTTTTTCTTTATACGTCTTGTCATCCTTCCTTCGAGACGAAGGCACTTCTTTTCCCCTCTATATAAGAGCCTCACATTCTTCAAAGGAGGCAGGTCACTCAAGAGCTCTTCCCCGGACGCTCTCCTCTCCTCTCATCTCTTCTCTTCTTCTTCTATGCACTTCTCTCATCTTTTCTCTGCATCTCTCTCTCTCTCTCTCTCAGAAGAGACTCTTCTGTCTTCTATCTGCTCCATCTCCTGCAAGAGCTATCCTGACCTCATAGCTCATGAATACCAGGTCACATAATTCACCTTAATTTCCAGGTTCTATCTTTTCCTCCTTTTCCATATTCCTAGCATGTGTGATTGTAATCTTCGCTCTCTCCCTTCCTATTGCCCTCAACACTGGAAACTCTTTTCCAGTTATTGCAAATGTAAACAGTAAGTTTGTTTTACAGTTTACAGTTTATTATTTTACAGTTTGTTTGTTTTACAGTTTGTTACCTGTTTACAGTTTGTATAAATTCTCTAATTCGATGTATTTGTACAAAGTTTTATAAGAATATGATGTGATGTTATGCAATTCAAAATAGTGTTTAGTATCAAAATAGGTAATCTCAACCACACACAGTGGTTAGTTATAGATAAATCAATCGTACCTTTTATTTTCATAATTCTATTATGTCTAAACTTTTACAGAATTTTACAAGAAATATTAAAATATAACAGCTTAATATTCACATACTTATTGTAAACAATATGAACATGTTTTTACTGTAGATCCCGACGCGTTTTGGTATCAAAGCCAAACAGTAAAAACAGTGAACTGTAGAAACCTATTTAAATTTACATCTAAGAAAGTTGGTCCGAGAGTTAAGGCAAGAGACGAAAGGAAAAGTCTAGGCAAAGCACCTGCCAAGGCCAGGAAGAGCCGCTTAGGGGAACACGCTGGACCCTTGATCGTCCAGATTGTCATTATCTGCAATCTACAGATGGCAAATTTAATTAGGAATCTTATACTGCAACTCAATCTCAAACCTTAAGAGTTAAAAATAAAGAAGAGATCATCATCAATGATATTGAACATCATATCCATAATTGGAATATTCTTAAAGTACCAATAAAGATATTTATCAGAAAGGATCATTCAAATTCAAATTAGGTTATGCTATAAAAACAGTAGAAGAAAGTCTATCAGTAACTCAAAACCAAGAAGACTTTCAACTATTATCAAGAAAAATTATTGAAAAACATAAAGAAAATAATTATAAACACATTGGATGAATACAAATAGCCATTAAACCTTTAACCCGTCTAAGGTTAAACACTTCAGTGCTTGTATGCCTAAGATATACAAGACACAATAAGTTCTCAGATTCACTCCTAGGCATGGTGGAATCCAGCCTATGTAGTGGACCCATATATTTTAATTGCTTTCCAAATTTTTCTGTTTCATTAACAGACCCAAATATATTAGATATATTAACTATAAATTTGAAAACTCATGGATTTAATATGACACATGGTTCTCATAATTTAGCAATAGTATACATAATTTATTATAAAGTAATGAATACTCTATGTCCTAATATTATGCAAGTTGATAAGAAGGATCAAACTATATTATTCCAAACTAATATAGAAAAATCAAATACGATTATACCAAAAACCATTACTTGGTCCGATATTATTCTACCTCAATCATGGGCATTGCAAAATGCAAACCAGCCCAGGGAAGTACCTGTGAATAATATTCCAAACCAAATAATAGAACATCAGGATGGAAATATTAAAATAAAATTTCAACAGCCTATAGTACAGGATGACATAGATATTAATAAGAATAGAAATAAAAAAACATTAATACCTGCTAGATACCTGCTAGAAAATCTTGTCATACTACTCCCGATGTTATAATACTTCCTTCTCCATTAATACCTACAACATCTTCAGACTTCCAATTACAAGGAGTCAAAAAAACAGCTGATCATGTAGTCATTCCCACGTATATATCTGAACCTGACATAGCTGAATTTCAAATACTTACATTACAAATAGATGAAGATATAAACTATGATGATGCATACTTAGAAGAATGGGATGATACATACCTAGCAGAATATTTGGCTGATAAATTAGAAAGGAAAAAGAGAAAAATTGATCTTACTTATATCAAACAAGATTATCTTTCTCCAAAAAATCAGGGTATTAGGGAATGGTATCTTAAAACCTTCCAACCCAAGTTAATCGAATTATTCTATAAAAAATATAATAAACACTTGAAAAAAGAAAGAGAAACAAACGGATTTTTTATATGGTTACAAGAAATATATACTCAATATAAAATAAACATTCTTCAATTTAATACTCTTCACACCATAGAAGAAAAAACATACATCAGTACGGATGGTACTACTACTGCTAGTACACACCCTCCTGAAAAAAGTATAATACTAAAAGGAGTAATAACTCCTTTAAGCAAAGGAGAACCACCACAATCCTTATATGATATTATTGCAACACCATATAAAGTTCTACCAAAAGAAATAGGTAAAAAACAAGAACTAATACCTCATATAGTGGAACAAAACAATTATACCAATTTATATATGCAATCATTAGGAAAACAAGCAGAACGTATAGAAAGATTAGTTACTCCTCAAACTAAAGGAATAACTCCTTCTATTCCTAAAACGGTTTTGTTTAAACCTCCTCCAGAACTCAATAAAAATAAATTCCATATTGGAGAAAATAATAAAACACTAATGGACCAGTTAATATCTAAATTAGCTCAATTAGATATCAAAGGAATCCCTTCTCCTAAACTTCGTATTCCTACACCAATACCTAGTATTCCTGTACCTTTACCAACTATCCCAAAATCTTTAGATAGGGGAAATACAAAAATACCAGAACATGAAACAATGATGCTCCAGAAAAGGAACCAGTTATAGAAGATACTATACAAAACCAAGAATCTGATTTTATGGATACTTCACCTATTGATTTAAATAGAATAGCATATGGTAAAACATGGAAACCAATCACAGCTTTACCATACTATAAGAGGCCTACATCTATTGATGTACAACTTGAAGAAGATGCCATACAACAAGCTGTTTCCTATTCAGGAAGATCAATAGTCAAGTGGACCATAGATGGTTTATTTGAATTAAAAATATTAGATGTCATGAGACATATGACAATGTTTGCATCAGCAAACAAAATGGCAGGCAATCCAGATCAAGAGGTTGCCAAAGCCATAGTAAATGGATTCACTGGCTGGTTAAGCGGCTGATGGGATTTCTATGTTGATGATGTAACCAAAAACAGAATCCTCACCAATACAAGACAATGGACCGCCAGAAATGAACAAAATCAAGAAATCATTTATACTGAAAGTGATGCAGTAAACACCTTAATATATACTATTACATTACATTTTGTAGGAAGTACAGCTCTATTAGCAGCAAGATCTGAAGATCTGCTATCCAACCTTCGCTGTACTACATTATCCCATTATAAATGGTACAAGGATGTCTTTTTCTCAAGATTATTAATACGTGAAGATTGTCAGTTAGACCATTGGAAAGAAAAATTTATTGCTGGTCTACCATACTTATTTGCAGAAAAAGTCAAAGAGAGACTAAGAAAGAAACATAATGGAGTTATAGTATACTCTGCATAAACACTTGGCGAATTATCAGCAGAAATATGTGCTGAAGGATTAGCTTTATGTACTGATCTTAAACTCAAAAGACAACTTGATAAACAATAAATTACCAAGCGTAAAGAACTTGGTGATTTTTGTGAGCAATTTGGTTACCATTTAAATAGAAATAATAAACTTGAAAATTTTATATAAGAAAAAGAAAAAACACAAAAAAGAAAAATATAGATCCAATAAAGTACATAAAAAATATAAAAAGTTTAAACAAAAATTTATAAACAAGTTTTTTCCAAATACTACAAATAAAAAGAAATTACCAGTATGTTATAAATGTGGAAAAGTTGGCCATTACAAATACCAATGCAAGTTAAAAAAGAAAATAGAAGCATTACACCTAGATGAATCAATCAAATCAAAATGATATAACATAATCAATTATGATACCACGACCGCAGATTCTACTGAATCACATATAGGAAATATTCAAGATGACGACCTATTATGGACAGAGTCATCTGATTCTTTAGATTCTTCTACTGATACAAAATCATCTCATCAAAAGGAAGAATCCAATTCCACTTGTCCTATACCCACACATGATCTTCATATGCTTACCCAAGAAGATAATTTATTCTTAGATCTCATCGAAAAAATTACAGATCCAAAAAAAAAAAGATAAATATGTGGAAGAACAAATACAGAATCCTTTGATCCAACAAAAGATTCAGTCCTTTCAAAAACAAATAGAAATCTCTATCTGTAGTGAGCATCCCAATGCTTTTTGGGAAAGGAAAAAACATAGTATTAGTCTACCATATGAACCTGGATTTGATGAAAAATAAATCCCTACTAAAGCTAGACCAATACAAATGAATACCACTTTATTAGGCATGTGTAGAAAAGAAATTACTGTCCTTCAAACAAAAAAGTTAATAAGACCAAGCGCATCACCAAAGAGTTGTGCAGCTTTTTATGTCAATAAAAATGTTGAAAAGGAACGAGGAGTTCCAAGATTAGTCATTAATTATAAACCTCTAAATAAAGTGTTACAATGGATTAGATATCCTATTCCCAATAAAAAAGATTTACTAGATAGAGTAGCCAATGCTTGTATATTTTCCAAATTTGACATGAAATCAAGATATTGGCAAATATAAATTCAAGAAAAAGATAAATGTAAAACAACATTTAATGTACCTTTTGGACAATACGAATAGAATGTAATGCCATTTGGCCTAAAAAAAGCTCCATCAGAATTTCAGAAAATAATGAATGATGTATTCAATGCTTACTATCAATTCATGATAGTTTATATCGATGATGTCTTAATTTTTTCTGAATCCATAGATGAACAGATTAAACATACTAATACTTTTATTCATCATTCTGGATTAGTTATTTAATTTCTTGTTTTAAAGTACAAAGAAATTTTTCTTTATTTTGTAATTGACTTTTGACATTATTGATTTCTTTTAATTTTGGTTTATGAATAAAATCAAAGTGTATTGGTATATTTTGATAATTAGAAGATATTCCTGTTTGATCTATTGATAAGAGATATAGTAATGTAAGAAATGAGACTCCAAGAATAATAGCTTGGCTTAATCCTTTGACCATGATAAATGGTGTGTTGATACATTGTTGATTATTACAAACAGAAGCATTGGATAACTTATAATTAATAAAGAGTCTACTGCCATCTGCAGTATTTAGGATTTGAGTTGTTTTGTCTAAATAAACCTCTAAATAAAGTGTTAGAATGGATTAGATATCCTATTCCCAATTTGGAGAATTATCAGCAGAAATATGTGCTGAAGGATTAGCTTTATGTACTGATCTTAAACTCAAAAGACAGCTTGATAAACAACAAATTACTAAGCATAAAGAACTTGGTGATTTTTGTGAGCAATTTGGTTATCATTTAGATAGAAAAAATAAACCTGAAAAATTATATAAGAAAAAAAAAAATACAAAAAAAGAAAAATATAGATCCAATAAAGTACATAAAAAATATAAAATTTCTAAACAAAAATTTATAAATAAGTTTTGTCCAAATAATAAAAAGAAATTACCAGTATGTTATAAATGTGGAAAAATCGACCATTACAAATACCAATGCAAGTTAAAAAAGAAAATATAAGCATTACACCTAGATGAATCAATCAAATCAAAATTATATAATATAATCAATTATGATACCACGACCTCAGATTCTACTGAATCACATATAGGAAACATTCAAGATGACGACCTATTATAGACATAGTCATCTAAT